TAGTTCTGCCTGGAGGGAACAGCCTCTAGAAGGGGCTTGTGTGGYAGCTTCCAAGGTTAGGGCTGCCTCAGCCCAAGGATAATAAGGGCTTACATGCACTTAATGTCAGGAAACAATGGAAAATACATGCAGGAGGAAATGAATGTGAGCCAGTGTGTGCCCAGGTGGCCAAGGGGGACAATGGCAAAAAACCCTGTGTCAACAACAGTGAGGCCATTTGGAACAGAGAAGGGACTGTCCCCTGTACTTGGCTCTGGTGAGCACCTCCAGGGCTGTGTCCAGTTCTGTGCCCTCACTASGGACACTGAAGGGCTGGAGTGGGTCCAGAGAAGGGCAATGGAGCCAAGGCAAGGGCTGGAGCACAACTTTGGGGAGGAGCGGCTGAGGGAGCTGGGGGGCTCAACCAGGGGATAAGGGGATCAAGGGTACTTTATGGCTCTCTACAGCTCCCTGAAGGGAGGGTGCAGCCAGGGGAGAGTCAGGGACCACGCCACCCAACAACAGGACAAGAGGACACGGTCTTCAGCTGGACATGGAGAGGGTTAAGCTGGGCATTAGGAGGAAATTCTTTTCAGAAAATGTCATCAGACATTGGAATGGGCTCCCCAGGGAGCTGGAGGAGTCACTGCCCCTGGAGGTGTTAAAGTTGGACACGACTCTCAGTGCCATGGTGTGTTTGACAAGTTGCTGTTCAGTCACAGGCTGGTTGATCTCAGACGTCTTTCCCAACCTGTGATAGTGTGATTCTAAAATGGAGGCCTGGTGAGCAGGAAGCAACCGCCCCTGCTGCTCTGTGAGGGACCATCCAGGAGCAGGACCSGTCCCTGATGTCGGGGTGTCACTGCTGGTTCCAGAGCCTTCATCTCGTCCCACAGCCCTCACCTCGACACTCCCCTGCCCACCCCCATTTTCCCCGCGGGCCGCGGCCATGCCGGGCGCGAAATGGCGCCGCCGTCACGTGCCCGCCGCCCGCGGCCTCACCCGGCGCCTGCGCTGGGGCGGCGGGGCCGCGGCTCCGCCCTCGGCTCGTCCCGGCTGCTGCGGGCTCAGTGCGGTGCTGGCCCTGCTCTGCCCCTGCTCGGCGCCTCGGCCCGGCCTCACGCTGCGAGGGAGCCGCGCACCGGCGGCGGTGAGCGGCGGGGCGGCCGCGGGGACCGGCCCTGGCGGGGCGGCCGGGGGGGGGAACAGGCCGCGGGGGAGGCCCGGGTTGCGGAGCGGGGCGAACAGACAGACAGGCAGGCAGGCAGGCAGACGGACAGGGAGGTGGAGGGACAGGCAGGCGGACAGACGCACTCCGCGCCCGGAGCCTTCAGTTCTCCCTGAGCGCCAAACCCAGTGAGGGTCTCGGTGTGCGGTACCCCCGGTTTGTGCCAAACCCAGTGAGGGGCTCGGTGTGCGGTACCCCGGGTTTGTGCCAAATCTCATGAGGGGCTCGGTGTGCGGTACCCCCGGTTTGTGCCAAACCCAGTGAGGGGCTCGGTGTGCGGAACCCCGGGTTTGTGCCAAATCTCATGAGGGCTTCGGTGTGCGGAACCCCGGGTTTGTGCCAAATCTCCTGAGGGGCTCGGTGTGCGGTACCCCGGGTTTGTGCCAAACCCAGTGAGGGGCTCGGTGTGCGGAACCCCGGGTTTGTGCCAAACCCTGTGAGGGGCTCGGTGTGCGGTACCCCGGGTTTGTGCCAAACCTCCTGCGGGGCTCGGTGTGCGGTACCCCGGGTTTGTGCCAAATCTCATGAGGGGCTCGGTGTGCGGAACCCCGGGTTTGTGCCAAACCCTGTGAGGGGCTCGGTGTGCGGTACCCCGGGTTTGTGCCAAACCTCCTGAGGGACTGAGTGTGCGGAACCCCGGGTTTGTGCCGTCCCGGGAGCTTTCACCGAGCTGCAGGAGCGCGGTGCCTGGGAGCTTGATTTTCCCATGTAAAGAGCTCAAATAGCTTGTTAAAGTCGGGGAGGAAGGTTTCAGGAAAACCTGAAAAAATAACAATTTTTTATTCATGCCTTAAATGTGTARGTAAATCCTCAAGAAAGCTTGATTCTAAAGAGCTATGCAGCTTTAGATGTGTCATTGAATAAAATGAGGGGTCTTGGATGTTGTGCACAGGGGGTTGGCTTCCTTCTAAAATAATGCATCAGTAGAAGTCCAATGTCTAAATTTCACTATCTAAATAGTAGTAAAAGTGGCAATGCGCTTGTATTTGTTCAGTTAAAATTAATGCAGGCATTAAGGTGTTCAGCTGAATGTGGTTATTTTTAGAACTCTGAGGATTTGTCATAAACATYCTAAAAATGTGATAAATCCCTTGAGTCAGAGGCTCAGTTTTGAGAAAAAAAAAATGAGGACTGGTTTAAAAAATAAATAATCCTCTTCAGAAGCAAAAATGGCACCCATTAAAAGTCTCGTGTGCCCTAGATGAAGAAAAAGCTTAATCTCAGAGCTCATCATCGTGAAGGACTGGATCTTCTGAGAYTTAAGCTTAAAATGTGTTTTTAACCTGTGTTTTGCAGCATAGTCAGTGGCTGAATTTGTGGTGGCAGCTCTCCAGGAGCAAACTGCCTGCCTTGTGCTGCTCTTGTTCACCAAACAGACTCAGAATTCCGAATTCCTTAACGTGAGGGGGTGGCCTCCGTGCTGTTGCTGAACTGCGATTTCTTTAAAGGCACTGTGATTAATGGGACCGGTCTTTCTGCTGTGAAAGGCAGGTCCGTAAACATTAATTTCCAAGTGTTAGAAAGTTAAAGCTTAATTATCAAGGTGCCTGCTTTATGCCAGAGGATATCCAGGCTTGGCTATACGGAGGGTTTTTTTATTTCTCAGGAACACAATTTCTGCTGCATTTGTTTTTGGTTGCTACTGTCTCTACTGGAAACGTGATTTTGTTAATTCCTGTTGAGACCTGGTATTGAGAACTGGAAGGGAAGTCTAGAAATCAGAGGAAGCAGTTATTTCTTTGTGGCTTGAATCTGTGATATGTTTGGTTATAGTAGCAAAACCTTTTTTTGAACTGACGTTATAGCCTGGGAAGTAATGAACATCTGCTTGCCTAAGGGAGCCACTGCTGACCACTTCTCAAATTCCCTACCAAGCCCCCATGCCATGGGAGAGATTTTAATGTCTTARTTTTAGAAGAAGTTTATGGCTCTGTTGCCAGGAGAAGTTGCAGAAACAGTTGCTTGACTTGATCTTTTCTGAATCCCTGTTGGTTTTTGTGGATTTGAGGTACTTTGAGTAGGATAAAGCGCAGCTTTCTAAATACTCCATCGCAAGTAGAGCTACGTGGGGGTCTGCACCAATTTTCCAAGTTTTGGGTTGTACAAATGAGGTTATGAATAGATGTGATGAACCTCAGCAGTTATCAAAGTGTTTCATTCCAGTGACTATTGCTGCTCCTTATCTTTGATAATCATTTGGGTAACTACCTTAGATAACAATTTACTGTTGTTTGCATAACAAGCTTGTATTTGATTGCATCTCYGATAACAATATTATTATATACATTCCTGCTTACATAAGCTAACATGATTTRTGTTGCTTTGGATGGTTCTTGTGGCCTTGGACACTCAGATATACATTAGATGTACACCTGATTTTTTTTTCTTAACCGTCACTTGCAGTAACTTTTTTAAAATTTAAATATAGTATCTAAAATTCTGCTAGTTCTTATCTCCAGTGTAAAAGCATGAACTAAMTTCTGTACTGGGGGGTCTTGGAACAGGTCTGTTCAAAAGAAGCTCTCTTCTTCAGGGGATAATTTTTGTTATTTAGCTGTTACAGGTAACGAGTCCAGTCACTCTGAAATTCAGAAGCCTGCTGAACATTGTATGTAGTCTTTATTGGCTACCTATATTTGATACAGTTATTACTATAAAAGGATATTGCTGTCCTTTCCTTAATTTTCAAATGTCAGTTACTCTTAGTAATTACTACTGCCTGTGGCCATATGAGGAGTGTTGGGAAGAGTACTGAAACCCCAGCTTCAGAACAGGTGGAAGGGTACTTTTCCTCCACYTCCTTGATGGGGTATGTAAAGGCAATGTAAAACTTATCACAACAAAGATTTCAGGTTTTTGGTGTGCTTTTATGAAAGAAAACTTCGTGATATTCCTGGGRGAAAGGTTTGAATGATTACATGCGATGCAAGACTCTGAAACACAACCTCAGCTGTAATGCAGTATTAAAAGAAAAGAATGTGGAGGGAAGCAGGGGATTTTTACCTCGAATCCCTTGATGCGGTTCTTTGTGATCCACCTTCCCAGGCTGTCACCTGGACTCGGGGAGCTCGTAAACAGGGAGGTGGCTGCGGGCTGGGTGATYTGTTGTTGTCGGGAGTAGCTGCTGCCGTGTGACTGCAGCCAGGCCTGGGCAGGTGCGGAGCGAGGGCTGCGGCACGTTTGTGGTAGGAAGCTGTGCCATGTGGCTCTGTGTGTTCATCGTCTGTCACACGGTTCCCCAGGACATTAGATAGCCTTGCCATGGAAAGGAAAATGGCAGGAAAAAACATCTGGGTTTTTTTTTTTTTTTTTTTCCCCCTATGTTTTTCATGGCTCTTAGATTACATTAGTGCTTCGGTGTTGTTTACCAAGATTCACTACTAGTGGTAATGATAATGCAAATACTGTTGACCAATAAATGTAAATGCAGTTGCAACATTTSTTTCCCATCACTTTTATGCTTAATCTGTTTTCACTTTTTTCTCAATGACAGTATTTGCATTGTGGGATAAGCTACCTTGTGTTATAATGATCCCCTCAAGCTCCTTTACTAAAGCAAGAAAATTTGTAAATTGGTATCARTGTATTTGCCTATCATTTTTGCATTGGATGTAATGCGAAGATTATTTTTTTCCAAAACTAACGCAGGTTTTTGTGGCATTTTATCTGGACAGGAGGGGAAAGCAGACAGATGCATGTGAGTGCCCCATGGCTGCAGCTGCCTCAGTTCATTCATTTATTGCCTATTGTAACTTGGAAGCATTCTTTAGGTAAGAAAGTTGCTTCAAAATATGTGGTTTGTAAACTTAATAGACTTCTCTGTTAAATCTTTAAATTGCATCTTGGTATTTTGTGCTTTCAGCTATAATGTTATGTATGCTGTTTGTATGTGGCGTTATAAACCTTTTATTTGTTAGACACTGACAGTACTTAGGAAAAAGAACTCTATGTGCAGTACAGACTGTGCTCGCTTCACAGGAGAGAGAACATGTGATACTTGTAGCAATGCCACCGTAAATGACAGATTTCTTCAGGCGCCACCCACAGAGTTACTAATGAATATCAGCTTTCTCTTTATAGACAAGYATGACTACTCAACTCTTGAATTTTCTGGTGTGTGAGCTGAGCAACAGCATTACTTGTACAGATTGCAGTACTTGAATTTGATTTTGTGTAGGAGAGGGGGGCTACTTCTCATGTTTTCATAAATGATGTGTACAACACCTGTGTTACACGATGCATCTATAAAGTTGGTATTAGCTGGGTACATTTTCAAAATATGATGGTCTGACCTTGGAGAATCTAAAGCTTTGTCCCGTAAGGTTTCTAAAGATGTTATTACTGGTTGAACACCATACCTGGTAAACACCCTCTGTTTCTAAATCTTCTTTTAAAATCTGTCATGATTTAATGAGGTGGGTGGGTGTTGCTGTTCTTGTAGCTTTCCATTAAAACATCTTCAGATAATGTAAAATGGAGGTTTTGGGTCTTTTTTTCTCACAGTGCATCAAGATACTCTGTCATACTAAGATAGAGGGTAGTTCTACTATGTGGGAGGAGATTTGTACATTTTTGGTACCTTTTCTCCAGATGCAGTTTGATTAACCAAAATTAATTGTTCACTGTCAAGATTATCATGGCACAGTAAGAATACTTTTGGAATAAAAGTAATTAAAGTTTAAAGCCAAGAGTCTCCAAATGTCAAAGTATTAGAGGTCATGACTTTAGGTGTAACTTTTGATTCACATGGTTTTGATATATGGTAAGCTGAAAAAAAATAAATATTTCTTATCTAGGTTCGTAGTTTCCTTTTGGTAATACTCAAGAATTCAGAGGTGTATCTGTGTTGCATAAGTGCTCATGTGAGTACACCTTCCCCTTAGTTAAATGATATTTTTCAGATAATGTTTGGTAAAAGTAATATGCTTGTTACATTCTGTTGCTCTGCTTCCACATCTGCTCTGCAGAACAGTGGGTACTATTCATGTTACTCTTTGTTCCAAAATTTATGTTAGTCCTTTCTATGGGTTTCCCAGACACTGCAGAACAGTTTTCAGTTTTTCTTTGGTTGGTGGCTTCACAGGTCGGTTCATCTTCTGGGACCCRTCCCTGCCTTCTGGTTAAGGAATCCATGCACACACACAGGATGACTCAACAGTGGGATGGATGTTCAGATACCATAAAGGTGCTGGTAACTTGACAGGAACCTCCACATTCTTGGGAGGTATGTGTGTATGTGTGTGTGTGGGTAAACCTCTTGTTTCAATATTACCTGGGTTATATCACATGGAACTGTAATTTAGCTAACTTCAGTTGTTCTTTAAAATATGTATTATTTATAGTTTCAGTRTGCAGAATGAAATAAGCATTTTTGCAGTAAATATTGGGGCTTCATCTTCAGTGAAAATGCTATGATGCATAACCAGTGCAACCTTTTCCTGGCTTTGCATCCCACAGTGAATAACAGAAATTCATTATGCTAGATTTAAAGGACTGGAGTATAGAACACTAAATATAGAAATTCGGGAGATTCCAGTTTTTAAAGGCTGTAGCAACAAGAACAAGTTCTGRCCAAGTTCCAGCAGGCAGAGCATAGATGGTGTGTACTCCAGAGATACCTTGCTGCATCCCTTCCTACATCAGGAGTGGATGTGCTGCTTCTGGTCTGTAGCCTGACCTGTAGTTTAGGTAAATGCCCTTTCTGGTTGTTCTCACCTGCTGGAGTGCCAAATCAGCASCCATGAAGTTGAAGTAAGTTTTGAATAAGATAGGAAAAATTTCCATATTTATCAGAAACTTACCTTTAACCGAGATGTTGCAGATCTGCATGAGAATAGCAATAGCAAGGAGAAGCTTCTCCAGGAACAGCATTTGTTTAATTTCTTTTTTTTTGTTCTGGAGTTTAGTTTTAGAAAACAACTAAGTTTTTAGCTTCTCTCAAGTAGGGAGTAGGAAAAACAAACCACAGGTATATTTGACTCARAAGGTATTTAGCCTTTGCTAAATTTAGCAAGGATATGAGCARCTGTAAAAGAGAGTTTTGTAATGGTTAATTGCTACATCCACACTTAATAGTTTGGAATGTCCATTTATTGTGAGACTTAAAACATTCAAAAGTCATAAAACATGGTGTTGTGTGGATGATAACTTAATGGTCTAATAGCAAAATATTTATTCATGCTGAGCCTGTRTCTTCATTACATTAGTAACACGGTTAATGTAAATCACATGTCTATTCCAGGAAAAAAGCTATTATTTTCTATAATTTAAAGAGTTTTGCTGGCTTATTCTTCTGTATATTTTGCTGATTCCARTCATTAATGGAAATTTAAATAGAGTGGGTGAGTATTTGTAACAACTGCTAAAATAAATTCCATGGTGGTTGAGATAATTTGTCAGGAAGTCAAGCAGTAGTGAAGCTGGGTATATGAACAGCTCTTAATTAATTGGCTACATTGTTCTTTTCCAGCTTCTCAAAGAATGCACATGCTTTCTTTTCATAAAAATGGGAGTTTGCATGTCAAACCTCATCAGCCAAACAGATCAGGTTCTTCCTTTCCCCCCTTCCCCCTCTGTAACGAAGACACTACGGAAAATTTTTAGTCCAGAAAAAGCAAGCTGTGAGGGTTGCCATGGAAGTTTGTTTGGTAAAAATAGATAATTTGCTCTGTTCGTTCTTCCAAAATGCATGGTTGCTTTGAAAATGCTCACTTTGCACAGGTTGGGAAGAGATAAGGTCTGGCTGAACATCTGATTAGTGTGATATTTGAGAAGGGGCCTCAACCTGTATTAAAATAAAGTGGCAGAGACAGTTGTTGAAAATTGACTGAACAGCAGAATTCAGTCTAGAATGGACTTGGTTAGATTGCACTACTTCAGCCTGTGAAAGCCGAGCTTTTCCTTATGCTCCTTTTCTCTGAGCTCTGGCTTGTGTGGCAAATGTCCCTCGCTGAARTAGATCTGTGCAGTTTGCTGATTTCCAAGGTCACTGTCCTTTTCCTGCTGGAAAACAGCATGTGAACCTCATTTACTTTGCCCTGCTTTGATAAGTGGCCTCTGAAGTTTTTTATTGTTAGTTGAATAAACATTTTTCCTCTGCTTGACATGATTCAGAGAAAAAAAAAACAAGGGAAAGTGGGCAAAACTTTTCAGTCTGACTMTTCTGAACATGTCTGTTCATGTTTCTCTGTTTTTAAGAAGGGARTTGATGAATTAAGTTTTCTAGTTGATAAAATTCTTTAGAAATCATAAGTAGATTCCATAGTTTGTCAAATGAGTTGAAATTTAAACTGTGTAAACTTTCTACTTCTGAATTAAATTCTGTTAAATGCTTTTATTCCCTACAAAATGCTTTATGTACTAAGAAATACTAATGCATGGAAATACACTTGGTAAATTAACAAGTCCAAATTCTATAGATTCAAATCAAATTGTACTAAGTAAAAAGTACTGAGAAACAAGGACCTTGCCAGCACGTGTACAATGGATATTGACATATGGATATTCTTCTTTTCAAAGTAACATGCTGAATTTAAATTTTATTAACTTATCTCTTACTGTTTCTCTACTGCCCTGTCTCCCTTCTTCCTCTAATCTTTTGTATTTTTCTAGAAACCTATTGTACGTGAGACCTTTCAGGAGCCTGTGCAGTTTGAATACRTCGGATTGTTACATCCAGAAACTTTCATAATGAAGAGGGCTGGGCAGAAGATTGTGGCTGGAATTGAAGCTCCTGGAACATCACAGACAAGCAAAAAACARAAAACTAGTTTATATGGCACAGAGTTTGGGGAATCTGACCTGTGCACCTCGATGGACTGGGGCAGCCTTCCACACCAYGTGATTCTGCGTGTTTTTCAGTTCCTGACTTTAGTGGATCGAGCCAGGGCATCTTCTGTTTGTCGAAGGTGGAATGAAGTTTTTCACATYCCAGATCTCTGGAGGAGATTTGAATTTGAACTCAGCCAGCCAGCCACTTCTTACTTAAAGTCTACACATCCAGATCTCATTCAGCAGATTATCAAGAGGCATGCTGACCATYTGCAGTACGTCAGCTTCAAGGTAAGCCGCGGATGAGCAGCGGCTCAGTGTCACGTCACTGAGCACGAGGGATGCAGCTGCTCTCTGTCAGCTGCCTTAAGGGTTGTATCTGGCAAGTCTTAGGTTTAAAAATGCAACTACTGCAACAATTTGTTTCCGCTTGTGCAGACAGTTGCATCCAATTTTCTAAATTCTAACCTCTGCAGAAGAAAGAAAGAACAAAACAGAGGAGGAAGGTGAGACGAAATAAAAGATTTGTCCAGTTACTCTTCAGGCTTATGAGCTGAGAATCACTTCATTATTTTAAAGGTGTTGTTCATGCAGATAAAATGCATTCATTTGCTGGAGCATATCTAGACTTTGTCAAGTCTTTTTTGGGCTCTTTTTTTTGGCATTTTAATAAAACACATGCATATCACTATGTATTACAGCACCAGTACTGTTACAGTATTGCAATAACGTAAGATTGTTTAAAGACAAGACTAATATTAAAGGTCTCTCTTCATACTAGAAATACCGAGCAGTCAAACTTGGGAAAATTTTCTAATAGTAACTTCCCTGAGCTCTTTCTGGTCTTGAAATTTCCAGTGAGTGTTGCACTTTGTCCGTGTGGTAATTGCAGTCTGGAGCAGTGCAGCTGAGTAGATGTGAAGCTTGCATACTTGGGTATCCATGGTGTTGTTTTCTAAATAACTGAAAAATKACTTCACTATTTTTTAATTGCTTTTATAGGTTGATAGTAGTACTGAGTCAGCAGAAGCAGCCTGTGACATCCTTTCTCAGTTGGTAAACTGCTCTATCAAGACACTGGGTTTGATCTCTACAGCAAAACCAAGTTTCATGAATGTCTCTAAGGTAAAGTTCTACAAACTAATTAGCATATTTTAATTCACTCTTAAGCCATTTTAGCTTTCTTAATGTTCTGTTTTTAGTTGATGGTAATTTTTATGGAACAATCTCTAGTTACTTTGTAGTAACAGAARCATCACTTTCTGTTAAGGGCCGTTTCTTTTTCTCTGCAGCAAAATTCTAGATACTTCAGGCTCATCACTGTRTCCAGTTACCCCTGTAGTTGTCACTGTTTTACAGGGAAATGATAAATCAGAGTAGATGAGTTAAATAGTGAGTGTAAGGTTAACTTTTTGCAAATGCAGCATCATGTTTTTATACAAAGATTATTTATGTTTATGTTCAAATAGGCCTTTCTTTGTTACACAAACAAGGGGATGCCTGGGAAGTTTTTTTTTTTTGTACTTTCTGTGTGTATAGAATGTGAGTTTAAAGTACTGAAGTTCTGCCCATCTTTTCATCTTTTCCTTCAATTTCTCCAAATAGGCTCATTTTGCCTCAGCACTGACAGTAGTTTTTGTAAACTCCAAATCATTATCATCAATCAAGATAGATGACACACCACTTGATGATCCTTCCTTGAAGGTTCTTGTTGCTAACAACAGCGATACTCTAAAACTGCTAAAAATGAGCAGCTGTCCTCATGTTTCACCTGCTGGTGAGTAATGACTGTATGTGAAAAATGGAGTTGTACAGCATCATAATTGACTTAAGCTTGAGTTTGGGCAGTTGAAAGGTGAAGAAGAAGGTGATTGTTGTTAGTGAATGAGTTGGATTGGGGAAGGTGGGGGTRCTGCCCACTTGATTGCATCTTCTGGAATTGTGGGTAAATTTTTTTCTATTCTCTCCAGCTGCTTGCTACCTCTGATTATAGGCCTTGAGGAGGAAAAGCCTCCAGAATTAGTACAAGCCTTTCACAGATGCTCAAAGGACATGATGTTCATTGCCTTTCTGTGTGATTTAAACCAAATGTGTGCCCCTTTAAGTGTGCAGCTTTGTAAACAAAACTAACTGGTGTTCTGTGGGAACACTACAAAACCCCTGATCCATGGATCAGCTACTGCTTGGTGGGATAAAGGAGATTAAAACAGTTGTCAGTAATTGTTTTGCAAGGTACTGTGAATGTGTRCACATTTCACAAACCTGTGGTGTAAGACTGTGAGTGTTTCCAGTCTCCAGAGTGCCCTCGTGTGTCCAGATCTGGGACTGTGAACTTCCTCATTGATAATGGGCTCACTCCCTTCAAAACACATCCTTGATGAAAGTTCAGAGGGCTTTTGGTCCCTTCTCTCCTGCCTTTCTGCTGAAACCTTAATGCTAGGGAAAGGGAGTCCAGGTGCAATTTTTCATGTATTCTTTTGTGGAGTCCATGAAAGATGACTTAATCTTTGTACTTTATTTTCCCACAGATTATAAGGCTTACAGTATTTAGGTCTTAATTCACAGAATTAAACTGTGTTAAACTGTGTTAAACTGTGTGTCTAATGGTGATGTAAATRGT